AGCCCAATGAATGATGATCAAGTAGCCTACTGCGGTCGTGACAGAAAAAAACAATGAAACGCCAACAGCAGCAGCAGATTAGTGCTTGGGTGAAAAGAAAGAAAGGAGATGTGAGTTGGTTGATTCAGTAAATTAACTCAGGATAATCATATTTTCTGTCTACACCTGTTGATGTTCGGCTAATGCCGGATTTGCTAGCTTGATGCTACCGGCATTTACCGGCAGTTACTCTCTACACACAGCGGCTCCGCTGCCCGTTAAACAGCTTCATCTTCATCAATCTATCTTATGTTCTTCTTTCTCCAACAATTAATGAAGGTTGTTAAGCGTTTTAGCTCCTTTGTTGTTAATATTGACCGCCATTTGCTCTATGAAGAAAACAAGCCTCACTGTCAGTGTTCTCACGCTGTCCTCACATCCCCGGACTGTGGGACAGACTCGGAGGAGCAGAGGCAGGGGCGGTTCTAGGGGGGGCCAACAGGGGCCAGTGCCCCCCTCCAAAAGAATTGTTACAATATTACGATTTATTGGAACTAAATCAAATCAGAGACCAGGATGTACAGTATATATTAAACTGTTCATTACCTTATATAAAAGCAAATACTGTTTATGTTTTTTAATTAAATTGTCACTTAAAGTTACTAAAACAAATACTCCAACTGAAAAAATCTACTGAAAACAAAGGGCTGTAAATTAAATGTACTAAAAACAAATACCTTTACAAAAACCAATAGCAATTACTGTATTTTATGTTTATTTTACACAGTTTTTATACTGTCTTTATCATGTTAACCCGTTTTTATTGTGCCCCTCTCATGAAATAACTTGCCCCATCTGATTTGTATACACTTTTATTAATGATTAATGTATTACATTTGGCTACACAAACCACACACATGTCACTAATTTGTAAATGTACTGTTTTTAAATGAAAATTGTCACTTTTTGAATAGTGTTGGATTCACACTAGTCTGGCTCCGGTCTTGACTCGGTCTCGCCCTGCCGTGGTCATGGTCTTGGTCTTGACCTCTTAAAGTCTTGGTCTTGCCGGTCTTGGTCTTGCCGGTCTTGGTGTTGTCTTGGTCTTAGTTAAGGTGGTCTTGATTACAACAATACCAATGGCTCAATATGATTATAACACCATTGCTTTCATAGCAGAGATCAGATGAGGTGGAGCTGCCTCAAGACACAGAGGGTGAGGCAGATAGAAGCAGCAGCAGCACAGAGTTGCAGCAGGTATGTTAAGTGCTGTAGTCAGGTGATTTCAATTTGAGATGAGAGGAAGAAGTGTATAAGAAGTGAATACAGTATGAATAACATTTAAAGTGTTGTAATGTAAAGCAGAACAAATACTTAGTTGCTCACAAGACTGAGTACTAGTAATAATACAACCAACATGATTTCCCAGCATTGTTCTATATATTTTTGTGTCATGCTTTCATATCAGAGATCAGATGAGCTGGAGGGGCTTCAAGACAGAGAGGGTGAGACAGGAAGAAGCAGTTTAGAGTTGCAGGTAAGTGCTGTATAAAGGGCCGGGTTATTTGGTATTTTCAATGATGTCTCATGTCAGCAACAGGCTAGCATATTGTCATATTTTATAGGAGAGACCTGAGGAGACAGACATAAGGAGAGAAGTGCAGGCAGGCAAGCAGAAAGCTGAACCAAACCATGCTGACCCAAAGCTCATTGTAGTGCATCAGCTTATCAACAAAACATTACGATTCCAAGAAAAGTGGTACCGTGAATTTCCGTGGCTCCACTACAGTCCAGGAGTCAATGGAATCTTGTGTTTTTTCTGTGCTCAAGCTTTTGGGCACGGAAGATCAAATTTGGCCAAGAATGCAGATCCAACCTTTTGCAACACTGGTTTCCGAAACTGGAAAAAGGCAACTCAAAAATGTGCAGAACATGTCCAAAGCAATGCACACAAAGTTGCTGTCACTACCCACTGCCAACAATCTAAACCAGTCGATGTCCAGCTTTCTTCAGCCAAAGCTGCACAGCAACAGGAATCAAGACGGTGTCTATTAAAAATTGTGAGCTCTGTACAGCTCTTAGCACGCCAGGGAGCTGCTCTTGGGGGCCATGCAGCTGAAGAGGGAAACTTAAGCCAGTTACTCAAAGTAAGATCTGAAGATGACCCTGGCTTAGAGAGATGGCTGTCAACAAGAAAACATGATTTCACATCCCCCCAAATCCAGAATGAAATGTTAAATCTATTTGCAAACACCATAATTAGGGAAATAATTAGCTCAATTTACAAGCTGCCTCTCCTCCAGTATTCCATTATTATTGATGGAACACAGGACATAGAAGGGACTGAACAGGAAGCCATTTGTGTGAGGTATGTAGACCATGATTTGGTCCCCCAGGAGGCCTTCTTGGGTTTTTACGAGGTCTCAAGCACAACTGGGGAAAACATAGCAAAAGTTGCCACAGATGTGTTGCTGCGCTTGAATCTTCCGCTGTCTGGTCTGCGTGGACAAACATATGATGGGGCAGCAAACATGTCAGGCGACAGAAAGGGAGCACAGGCCAGGATAAGGGAGATGCAGCCACTGGCTTTGTATGTACACTGTGGTGCCCACTGTGTAAATCTTGTCACCCAGGCTGCTTGTAAGGCTTCTTCCCTAACATCTGATGCTCTGGATTGGCTCCACAAGCTTGGATGTCTGTACAAATTGTCTGGCAAATACAAAACAAAATTTGTGAACATTGCAACAGCAGCATCAGGGACAGTTAGCAATCTGCGGCCCTTGTGTCAAACAAGATGGACCACCAGGACTCCAGCAATCTGGTCTGTGCTACGTCAGTACGAGTCAGTGCTTCTGAGCTTAGAGGACATGGCCCAAACAGATGCCTCAAACACTGGTGTGACTGCAAGAGGGCTGCTGGAGAGATTCGGAAAAGGTACGACAGTGTTAGGACTCATGCTAGCCACTGAAGTAATTCAGGAGTTGGAGTGCCTTAATTGCACACTGCAGAAGCAGACAGAAACCGTGTCTGGTATGCTATCTGCAGCAGATTGTGTTAGGACCACCCTGAGGGCAAAGAGAACGGAGGAGAAGTTCCAGGAGATTTACAGCCAAGCGACAGAGAAGATCCGCATGCTAAATATTGAGCCCATAAGCATGCCACACATCCGCCGTCCACCAAAACGCTTTATTGGCAACGACACTACTAAACACACACCCACAACCCCAGAAGAACACTACAGAGCTGACTTCTTCAAGGTGCTGGATACTGTGGACATGCAGCTGAAGGAGAGGTTTCATCAGAGTGGTCTGACAATATTGGCAAAGCTGGAGGAAGTCCTCCTAACTGGGGAGCTGGACACCGCAGTGGTGGACCAGTATCCTGAATTAAACCAAAGGTCACTGAAGGTGCAGCTTGACATGTTTAAGCTCCAGTACCCATACAAATCCACTTCAGAGGCCGCAGCTATTCTGAAGAGTCAGTTGCCTGAAGTCCGTGGCCTTTTCGACCAAGTAGAAGCCCTTACACGGCTTCTTATGGTTGTTCCTGCAGCCTCTGCTGAAGCAGAGAGGAGCTTCAGTGCTCTGAGGAGGTTGAAGACCTGGCTGAGAAGTACAATGATGCAAATTCGCATTAACAATGTAGCAGTCTGTCACATTCACAAGGAATTGCTGGATAAAGTCAGCAGGGAAAAGATTTGCCAGGAGTTTATCCTTGCGAATGAGTACAGGAAGCATGTGTTTGGTTCTTTTAGCTGAGAAGAGCAGAGAGGACAGTAAAGGACACATGGAGAGATGGGATTGAAGGGATAGATTGAGGACGATGAAACATTTTCTTTATATTAAAAGTTTGATTATCTGTTGTTTGTCTTAAACCTTTGACATAAGCCATTATATTACATTTTTCTATTTCTTTTTACCTGTTTTTGGTTCGTCTGGTCATATTTTGAATCATTTTGACCATAAATAAAAGAAGAAGAAAAAACAAAGTGGAAATTGAATCTCACATTATTTTAATTTTAATCACACAAACATTAATTCTGAAAATGTTTGACTTTATGAATGATTATCTTTAGTGTTGGCTATCGGCCCCAATATTAAACAATTAAGAAAGTAAGACAGCTTTTCCTTATACATATTTTAGTATTTTTCTTTCTGTCAGAATTTATCTTTATGGCCAACTACATTTTTGTCTGTATTTTTTATCACCATAGTCCCTAAATGTTAGTAGAAATGCAGGAAATGGGATTCATATCGAGAAAGGTTTTATTGCGGAGAGCCCCCAGGCCCCCAGACCCCCTGTGTCCCCCCCACTTCTCAAACCAAAGTTACACCCCTGCACGCACACACACACACACACACACACACACACACACACACACACACACACACACACACACACACACACACACACACACACACACACACACACACACACACACACACACACACACACACACACACACACACACACACACACACACACACACACACACACACAGGGTTGGTGGTGAGGGTTGTAGGCGGATGAAGTGGGTGCGAATTCGGAGCATCGCAGGAAGCCGAAGAATGCTAGCAGGAACATGCATTCTAGGGTAAGGTCGACCGTTGGTGATAAGTATCCTGAGCGTAGGGAACGGATGCAGAGGCTGAGAAGGTCGGAAGTGAGTGGCAGTCGTTTGGCTGTGATGGAGGGTTCCTGCTTACGTAAGCCTTTGATAAGCATTGTGACGTGGCTATGGGACGTGGAAGGACATGTTTGGCCGCTGGCTATTTTAATGAAGAAGTTAATTCCGGCCAAGTATGTCTGAATGGTGGATGTCCGGCATTTACGGATGGAATGAGCGTGAGTAATGAAATTGCAGACGGATATGACGTCCAGAGTGGGGAATGGTAGCTGGTATGCGCCGTGATATGCCTTAAAGCAATTCCAGCCGGTGAGATAGGCTGACAAGGTGCTTGGGGCAAGGCTGTTGAGGATGGCTTCCCGTGAAGCGTGTGTGAGTAGTTCCAGTTGTGGGTTTAGTTGAATATGGTGGCTGAAAACGGTGGGACTGGTATGGGATGGAGATCCGCCTCTGGGGCCAAGTTTCTGAATTTCTGAAATTGGAAACGAGACAAAGAGTCAGCGATGCCGTTCTCATGACCTGGGATGTGTGCTGCTTTGAGGATGAACTGGTGTTGGGCAGAGATTAAGGTGAGTCTGCGAAGGAACTGCATGATGGCTAGGGAGCGAGATCGGCCTTTGTTAAGGATCTCTACGACTGCGCTGTTATTGGTGTGGATGAGTATGGCTTTCCTAGACCATTCGTGCCCCCAAAGAATGGCAGCTATGATGATATGATACAGTTCGTGAAGTGCGGATGAAGGGGAAAGTGTCTGTGAATTGAGAGCTGTGAACTCTGGGGGCCAGGTGGATGAGAACCATCTCCCTGCATAGTAGCCGCCAAAGCCTATGGAGGGGGCTGTGTCAGTGAAGAGTTGGATATCCTCTGGTTTGGTAATGAAGTCATCATAAAAGAAAGAGATGCCGTTCCACGAGGACAATAAATCCTGCCAAAGGTGCATTTCCATTTTGAATGCGTCGTCGAGAACTAGTCGATCGTGGATGGAGGGAACTGACGCCGCTCTGTTCAGCAGGTTGGACAAGAAGGGTTTTGCTTGAGGTATTTTGCGGATGGCGTAATTTAGGTGGCCGAGGAGGGCTAACAGCTGCCGTTTCGTGCATCTGTCTACCTGTAAGTAGTTTGACAAGAGGAGAGTGATGCGCTGTACTTTCTCTGAGGGTAGAGAAGCCTGGAAAGACATTGAGTCCAGGGTGATGCCTAGAAACTCGATGGAGGTTTTAGGCCCTGAGGTTTTCTCTTCAGACAGAGGGATGCCAAGGTCTGAAAATGTTTGTATGAGTGTGCTCAGCCCGTGGCAGGGGGGTGAGGATGGTGGAGTGACGATGAGAAAGTCGTCAAGAAGATGGAGCACATAGGGGAGTCTGTGGTTGTTTGTCAAGATCCACCACAGAGCTTCTGAAAGGGAATCGAAGATTTTGGGACTGCTTCTGCAGCCGAATGTGAGGCGTACTGATAAGTAATACGCTCCCTTCCAGTACACTCCGAAGAAACTCCAGAAGTCTGGGTGAATAGGCAAGATCTTGAATGCACTGGTGATGTCTGCCTTAGAGAGCCATGCTCCGCAGCCTGCTGAGCGGATGAGGGTGATGGCGTGGTCGATGTTTGCGTATTGCATCGAAAAGTCTGGGCTTGGAATGACGCTGTTAATGCTCGGGATGGCTGAGCCGTGTGGAGAAGACAGGTCTATTATGAGCGTCTTTTTCCCGGAGTATTTCCGAGTAGCTATGCCTATTGGACTGATGCGGAACACTGGAAAGGGGGGACTATCGAATGGGCCTATCATGAATCCTTCTTTGACTTCTTTGGCCAGTAAGGTGTCGACGGTGTGAGGTTCTGTTAAAGCGGACTGAAGGTTGTGGCAGATGTGAGATGTGTCGGGCAGTATTGCTATGCCTGGGTGTAACCCATGGGAGAAGCCATTGGTGAGCAAGTAAACAAACTGTCTATCTGGATGATTTACTAAGGCGGTAGCTAAGTTGCTTACCTTGATGGGTGTGCTGAGGTGCCGTGCTAGTCAATCTGCTGGTGTAGTTGGGTTGTGAGGGCAGGTGCTCCTGGCATGAGCGCCGCCGCAGAAAGAGCAGATGTGCATGAGGCGGCAGCTAGAAAGAGAGCCTAGGTCATTGAAATTGTTACACACCATCCTGCCTCCCTGGTAGAGGATTGGCCTTCCGCGTCTGTCAACGCCCTTTGAAACGGGGGCGTTGGCTGATGAACGTTTGTTTGCGGGCCTAGGGATGATGGGAGGTGGGGGTGCGGCAGGTGATAGGCGGTTGAAGGTTGAGGCGTTGCCTCTTGATGGAAAGGGGAGTGAGCGGGGTGGCTCGGGTGGTGGGGCGCTGACTGAGCATGCTGAGGCCGGGTGGGAGGGGGCTCCGCATAATTGGCAAGAGAGGGATGGGCGTGCTGCAAAGATGTGGCAGTAAAGCTCGGAGTCCAGAGCGCCCCAGTATGTTCCCTGGTTGAACTGGTTGAACTGGTTGAACTGCTTGATGCGGCCGGCGGCTTGGCTAGCGAAGTGTAAAAACCTGAGCCTCCGAAGCGTAAGGCCATGTCGAGCTCTATGAGGAGGTACTCGTCTAACTCGGTTCTGCGTGTGGGGTAGACTGAGCAGATGACGTCGCGGTAAAGGGAAAAAGCTAGGGCGAACTCTGCGGGGATTAAGTCCTTAGACCTCAGAGGTGATGGATTTCGCAGCTTGACTAAACCGAAGTTGGTCTGCATTTCCCTGGGCTGGCTAGTGTCTATGATTGATGGCTGTAGTAGTTGAGCTAAGTCTACGTAGTTACCTAGGAGAATCTGCTGGCGCAAGACGGGACACGGGGGAAGGGCGATAGAGGAGGAGGCTGAGGAGGCTGGCTGGATGGGTGGTGTTGCTGTGGCTAGAGTGTAGCTGGTTGCACAGGGAGGAAAAACATTTGGGTGTTGGGGAAGGGATGGGGATGGGATGGGGTAGGGATGGGGGGAGGGGGAAAGGATAGACCAGTTGGAAAATAAGTTACTGGGTAAGAGTCGGCTAATGGGTTAGCATGTAGCATGGCCCCTTGGGTTACTGGGTGAGGCGCTGTTGCTACAGGGTTAGCTGCTAAAGGAGGAAGGTAAGCAGAAGCTGGGTAGCTGTGGACTGCTGAAGGTAGAGAAGAAGAAGGGATGAAGGGATGTATGTGCAAGGGGATTTTGTGAAGCCTGTGAGCACCGGGATGAGAGAAAGTTTGACATAAGCTGCGACATGTCAGACACAGAGAGAGCAGGCACAGAGGGCAATACGACCTGGCCCCCACCAGGGGGTGCTGGTGAGTCGGGCTGTATCCGTGGAGGAGGACGGAGGCCTGTGACGTCACAACCCGTGGTGCGAGCGCGCCGCGCCGTGGTTGGCTCTGGAGCAGGAAGAGCTGTGTGTCTCGTTGTTCTTGCCGTTGTGCTGCTGTAGGCTTTGTAGAGGTTGAACAGTCTAGCCTTGTTGTCATTTCGGTGAAAGTGGATGCCGTTTTCTTTCAGGAAACGTTGGAGTTGAATGACTGTCCACCTCCGTAGTTCGGGCTCCGTAGTTCGGGCTCCGTTTCGGAGCGCGGCTCCGTCCGAGAGGCGTGTCGAGTGCGCCGCTGCGAGTGGCCGGGAGCTGCGAATGAGGCAGGCTGCAGGTGGTGGGGAGATTGGAGCTGGCTGTGCCTGTTGTGGCCCCGGTTGTTTGCCCTCGCTGGCGGAGTAGACAAAGCCTGGGACCTGTCTGGAGTTGGAGGTATCTCGTTGGGGGAGCTTGAGTGGGAGCGGTGGCGGCTGGTGTGTGGGACACCGATTGCCGAGCGCACTCGGCTCCGTTCGGATGCTTGGCTTAGATCCGACCGCTGACCCGAGGATGGCGGGTAGCCGATGTCGAAGAGATCTTCATCTGACTCCGGCGAGTTGATCAGCAGTTCGGGATCCATGGTGAGTTGAATGTTCTCGTGGTAGCGTTTAGCTTGTTTGAACCGTGACGACGCGCTGCGTGAATCACGGTCTGCCTATCTGTCTTTGAAAGGATGGAGACAAGCAGTGGCCGGAAGTTTTGCCGGATATAATTAGGGGTGGCCGTGGTTCGAGGCGGAGTTTTAGGCGTGGCCATGCTCCTGAACCTATGTTAACAATTTAACCTCATTTATATTCACCTGCTGTAGAACAGATTATTATGTTATTATAGAATATGATTCCTATGTTCACAGAGTCCTACACTCCAGGGTTTCCCTTTGTTTTCTACCTGTTCTCATTCCCAGTTCATTGACCTTTGGAACACAGGACCCTGGGAACATAGGACCATGGGAATATAAGACATTGGGAACATAGTAACATTGTACAAAAGCACTTTGGGAAAGTAAGACCTTGGGAATATTGCACCCTGGGAATAGGTCCTTGGGATCATTGGACCCCAGGAACATTTGGAACATAAGATCTTGCAAACACAAGACCCAGGAAACATAGGACCCTGGGAGCAGAAATAGACTACCCTCGTCTCACCTTGTCACACACCAAACGCAGGATGTGATTTCCCCCAGATGATTATTGAGAGCATGTCGACCTAATGGTAGTAATTCAGATAAAGTATTTTTGTTCTCTGTTTGGTGAGAATTCACTGTCCACACCAACCAAGTTTTTCTCCCCCGGCGTCAGACCTTTTACGGAAAACTCTCAAAGTATATGGCATCCAGAGAACAAATCACCATTTATAAACATTAAAACTTGATTTATTATTATTGAATTGGGAGGTTTTGGCATTGGAGGGAGTTTCAGAACCAAAAAATAGTCGTAGAACAATAGTGAGAACACCTGTTAAACCTGTGAATGAGCCAGTTGAAGAAATTGTTTTAGTAATTTTAGCATAACCCAAGATCACTGAATTCCCTCTCAGAGGCACAATGTTGCTATAATTAGTAGAATTGATTGCCCAAGGTATTAAAATAAAGCCAAAGTTAAAATAAATTAGAATTATCTCCTGAAACAACTTAGTTTAGGTCCAGGCCTTTTTTATCCAGGGATTGTTGGACGTATCAACAATCAAACACAGGTTTATCTGAGGAGTTCAAACACATTCAGCCATCAATTTACACATTGAGCACGACCTCATCTGTAAAAGGCAATCCATTACAGCCTATCGATACAAAGAGGACTGCAATGTCCTTTTCCTGTCAATAGTAGCTCAAGAACGCTTAAATCGATCTGAACTTTACTCGAGTCTGTAAATTCGGATTGTCAAAAAGCGAAATAAGTTCCGTCCTTGGCATTTTTCCCACCGGTTGTTAAAGGTATTTGTTTTCTTCTGTTATGTTTTGAAATGTTTTATTAATGAGCACCAATCGTTTGCTTTCTTATCTCCCTCTCCTTTTCTTTTCTCTCTCCATCACTGCTCTTTCCACCTCAGTGACCACTCGCCTCTGTTTACCTTCATGAAAGATTAATGATTGTTCGTGAAACCCTCTGAAAATGAATGCTAATACTTCTCATGTTTGACTCATATCATTTAACCCGCATGAATGATTCATCAATGCTCATTGAGGTGTGAACTGAAAAATGATCTACCTTCTGCAAACGACACTATGAGTAAGAGGTTGGATTATAAGTGTATGCATGTGTATGTATGCAAATGTCTTTGAGTAAAATCCTCACCTTGGGGACATAAATTCAGCATCCTTAGGGCACTGCTTGTTTGTCTGTGTATATTACATTACATGTTACTTGTTAGATGCTTTTATCCAAAGCGACTTACATACTCAATACTGTGGACAATCCCCACAGGAGCAATTTGGGGTGAAGTGTCTCAGGGACACAACGACATGCTGACTGCAGTGGGACTCGAACTTGCTATCCTCTCATTCGAAGATCAGCGCATTAACCCACTGCGCCACACGCCGCCTTGTATATATTTCCATTTACATACTTCGCATTGATGTACTTGAAAAAACACATAAACTTGAACAATTACTTGAAGCCCAGCCACGGCAGACAACGCAAAATGTGTACACGAATCAATAGGTTACATTTCGTGACGATATCACTATTAATAGTGCATCACTTGCAACTTCTATCTTTATTTGGGTTTGATGCTTATTCCATATAATTCCATGTATGATCACAGGAAAGGTTAAGCAGCAGCAATAGCCACCCAATTTTTTGAGAAGTGTACCACAATAGTGCAGGAGCTAGGCAATGTGTACAAAAATAGGGTTTCAAAACGTAAACTTTAAAACCTTTAGCCGTAAAGTTCCATCATATTAGCTTGGTATTACATTTTTACAATACAATGAAATATTGTCACAGCACATTGAGTTTGTTATTAGTTTAAAAGAAAATGACAAATCAATGTTCATTTCTTTGTATCTTCTCTCCCCTAACAGCTTCTTAATCACAACTCCTAATCACCTGATGATGGGGAATTAATGAACCTTTGCAAAGTGTGTGTGTGTGTGTGTGTGTGTGTTTTGTTCTATTTCCACAAATCACCTGTTAATATTAAGAAAATAATGACTAAACCTTGTAAAGCAGCAGCACTACTCAATAAAGTGTGTATGCATATATATGTGTGTGTGCACTGCATGTGTACAGCAGTCATTTCCTGGGTCTGTGTCAGATGGTTAATGTTGCGTGGAGTCATTAATCAAGGCACAATGAGGAGCTGCTGCAACAAGACTTGACAGTAATCTATTGCGTGAGTGTGTTTGTGTGTTTGTGTAGGCTTGTATGTGCCTTACTTAAGAGTATACTTGTGTTTGTGTGAGTTTGACTGTTTTAAGTGTGAGAGTTATGTGAGAGTTGTAATAGAGCGGTGCAGTGATGACGTATCTTTATAGGCCGACCAGGAAGAGAAAAAGCTTTGTGGCAAACACACTTTGCACGTTTTGTTATGCTGAATACTCTGCACATGTTAACACCACTTTGTACATTTTGAAGTCTAAATACATTCACCAGACATTTACATCTGATATAAGGCTATAAACATTTTATATCAAAAAATACATCAGGCCACCAAGCTAAAGGCGGCTAACGTTCGGTAGTTTAGACCAGCGTTTTTCTACCTTGTTGAGCCGCGTTACATATTTTACATTAAAAAAATTCTGCGGCAGACTAGCAACCAAGAAAGTGACACATAAAAGTTACCCGTTTGTTTACTCAGGCGAACCAAGTAGTGCGTGTTCTTGTTTTGCATTCTTTTATTGTCATTGTACAGGTAAAATTACGGGGGTTTTGTTTGGAGATGACGTTTAAGCATGCTTGGGATCAAGGCACTGTTGGATTTGAATTGCGGCAACTAAATAATATATTTTTGGACCTGTTAAGTGAAATTGGACAATATCCCATGGCACAGTGGTTGAAAATCACTGGTTTACTGACGTATGTTATGTCGTAGATCAAAATATGAAAATCTCTTGAGCTTATGTTAACCACAGATCTTATTTAAAGCCTCTAATCACAAACACATTCAAAAACACGTTTACTTCAAGACTAGGGAACCGTAAGTGTTAGAATGCTAAGTCTTTTCCGGGTTTTAGGACCACTCTATTGACACTGCATATTTTTTAGTAAGTTTTCAGTGATAACAGGAAGAGTATAAAAGAAGAAAGTACTTAAATTGTTTTGGAGGTTAACTCTGGTGATACTGTTTGTTTTTCATATGCCAATGAACTGAGAAAAGTCCTAAACCATCTATTAAAGGTAGGGTAGGTAAGTTTGAGAAACCGGCTCGAGATCGCTAGAATTTGAAAATACATAACCGGAGAAAATCTGCCACTTCCTTATAGAGCCCCTCCTCCAACACACACGAACGCGCACATGACCAATGAGGGCACGGGATAAGTTTGTGCACAGATGGAAGGCTGACAGGCAGGTAGGCCATCCAGTTATTTTAGCCGGGCCGGCTAAAATGATTGGTCGTGCTTTTTTCAGTATTACGGCTTCCACAGATGACGTTCTTTTTGTCAAAGCACTTAAGATATTCATTGCTATCGGGATGTTAAGAGCATTCCATGGAATATAACAAAAAGTGTATCTCGAGCCGGTTTCTCAAACTTACCTACCCTACCTTCAATAGATTCTAAGAAGTAGGGATGCTCCGATCGCCATATTTTGGGGCCGATCGCCGGAATCAGTATCGGTCGATACCGATCGCCGATCCGATCGAGTGGGTGGGGCCTATGGGGATCTTCCATTTAAAGTGATGTTTAAAACTCAGTTAATGGGGCTCATTCACTGGCGCTTCCACAAACAACAACCAACATAATTATTACATTCAAATGAAGTACATTATTCAAGTTTACATTAACTTTGGATAATAACACGGGAGAAATGAGCGGAAGCGCTCTCTTTTCCTCTCCCTCCCTCCCTCTCCTGACAGCCGGTCCCTATCCGTCTCATGCAGCTCACTGACCCGACAGTGAAAAATACATATATTTATAACTAGTTTAGCTTGTTCCAGAGGTAGATAAAATATCTACAGATGGAGCATCTTATTTCAGACTCCAGCTTACTGCTTCCTGCCTACTACCTGCCAGTTACCTGCCTAAGACCTGCCAAAGACCAGTATCTGGGAATGTTCAGCCCTCCCACTATTTTCCAAGAGGGCGTTACCAGATTTTCAATTTCAGGATTTAACCAGGAGATGGCGCTTCCTTCACAAAAACAGGAAGACAACTTTTCATGGACTTTCAGTTTTGTTTAGAAGAGCATTTAAACACATCAATATTTTAGATCAAATAAAGTATATATAATCTTGTAATTCAATAATATATAGTCTTTATATATTAAATAACTATGGCCAAACTAAGACTTAGTTTTTCACAAGAGAAAATGCAGATATTATATAAAAAACTAAAGTTAAAATCTTGTTTTTAATGCCCCAAGAGCAATAAAAACACTTGGTAAAAAAATACAAGCTGTAAAAATACTTATATATATTTAATAC